CCCCCCCGATAGATGAAAACCTCAATGCTGTATTATTCCACATTTGCATGCATTTCATTACTGAGGGATTTTTGAAGGATTGGAAACGAGGTCCTCTGCTCTTATCTGCAATTTGTCCTCTTTTTATTCGCTTCACTCTTTTTCTTCATTCTTTTTTTTTCTCTTGAACTCCCTTGTGACTGAATCTGAACACCCCTTATCACCACAACTTAATGAGCTCCCAAGCATTACTGCCATCACACACACACACACTCACTTTGTCAGGCTGGTAGCATCTACTGTCTACTTAAGTTTTCTAGTTCCCCGCAGTCTAATTGTGCATTTATTCTTTTACTCTCTGAAACAAGTCATTAGTGTTTTATATCAGAGAGAGAGAGAGAGAGAGAGAGAGAGACCTAATTTTAATGACCTTCAGATAAGCTGCAAAAGATGATGCAAAGCAAAGTAGGATAAAGAGATGAATTAAGTAACGGGGAGAAAAGGCCAGCGAGAGGGCAAAAGAGTCAGTTATCTGCAAATCTCACGTCTTTAATGATGCATAACTCTTGTCAGATTATTAAAATTACACACAAACCACCTTTAAAAGATCTCTATGGATGAAAGACTGCATTTCTGTAGTGATAAAGACACACACAGATATCAAGACATATGCAATAAAGTGACAGACTGAGTGAAATGTCAGGGAATGTTAATAAGGGACGGGTGAATGATGCCATTGATCCAGTTTAAACTCTATTTGTGTCTACAGTATCCAGTGAACAATTGTGTCTTCATTAGTTTTCGCTTTGAGCCCTTTCATTGGCTGGTAGACCGTTTCTATCCAGACAGGAATGGAAAAAAGCCCTAAAGTACTGTAAATATTTACATTATCTCACTATAACACTTTAAATATTTACATTACCTCACTGTAAATATTTACATTATCTCACTATAACACTTTAAATATTTACATTACCTCACTGTAAATATTTACATTATCTCACTATAACACTTTAAATATTTACATTACCTCACTGTAAATATTTACATTATCTCACTATAACACTTTAAATATTTACAGTATCTCACTATAACACTTTAAATATTTACATTACCTCACTGTAACTGTAAATATTTACATGATCACTATAACACTTTAAATATTTACATTACCTCAATGTAACACTGTAAATATTTACATTACTTCATTGTAACACTGTAAATATTTGCATTACCTCGCTGTAACACTGTAAAGATTTACATTACCTCACTATTACAGTGTAAAGATTTACATTATCTTACTGTAACTGTAAAGATTTATATTACTTTGCACTGTAAGACTGTCACATACCATAAATAATTTCCACTATGAAACCACACAAGTACAAAACCTAATGAAGCGTTATATTTAAACAGTTTGACATTGTGATGGCATGCTATCTGAAGTGGATAAATGGTTGGAGGTGTAATAAATGAGCTCACAATACTGCCAAACCGGACCATGGGAGCTCGGCCGACTGCAGATGATACATGATGAGCTAGAACTAAACTGTTTTCATTTGTAAAGCCATAATAGTTTCAGTGCATGCATGTTTTTTAGAGATGGACATACTCTAAAACAGTGGTCGCCAACCCGTCGATCGCGATCGACTGGTAGATCTTTATCACTGTCCCAGTAGATCCCGAAAAAAACAGTAAAATAAGTACAAAAATGCATTACATTTATGGGGTTATATTAATGTATCACTGAAGGGAACTGTCTTGAGAAAAGTTTCGATGGCAATGGCATTTTCTTCTCCGTATAAAGCGCAACTCTGCGGTGGACTTTGGGGGAGCCCACTTTTTCGTGGGGTGTTCGTGCCTCAAAAGAGGGCTTACAATAACTTCCAAAGATACATAACAGCTACAAGTGTATGCACTACTTGCTTTATGCAAGCACTATATAGGATAAATCACTATACAGGATTTACCCTGTTGGTGAGTTATGACAACTTCTAATGAAATTATTTTCAACCAACAAACCACATTAAGGTAGAGGAACATAATTTGTATCATAAACATAAAATTTCAAATTGAGTATTCTAAAAAAAACGAATTGTTCCAAACAGCATTAAACACTAACAGGGTTTTCCCCTTACTAGTTGTAAATAAAATGTATCTTTAATTCAGTGTGTTACTTACTGTTTCTTTGTAATTCATTTTGAAATGTACTAATTTTTCAGTGAAAACTGTCTGTCTACGCCCATTTTTTTTTTCAGTGTAAAAAACCCCCACAAAATAACACTTAGGCCCAATCCCAATTCTACCCCTTAGCCCTTCCCCTTTCCCCTACCCCTCCGTTTCGCGCGTTCACGTGATTGCCAATTCGAGAGAGAGAGATGAAAGTTGCGTGTATGCGCGTCTGTGCGTTTCTCTTTTTAGAGTGAGTTTACTTAAAAAACAGCGATTTTATCCTCTTGTTGTTGGAACATATAATGTAGTGATTCAGTATTTAAACTGTTATTAATAAAATTTGTGGGGCAGCGTTGACAAGTTTCTTTTCTCCTAGATTGAGCTGCGCGATCTCCGATATATGTGTGTGTGTGTGTCAGTAAGCAACGCATTATATAGAACGGTAATTAAAAGCTCTAATGCACACACCAGCACACCAGTATAGGTGTGTGTATTGTAGGAGCTAGACGACGTATGATGACGTGTGACGTATAGTAGTGGTGTCCCAATTCTTAGGGGAATATTTTCACCCCTACCCCTTGACACTCTGTTTCAAGGGACAAGGGGAAGGGGTAGGCGGAGGGGTAGGGGAAGGGGTATAAAATAGAATTGGGATTGGGCCTTAATTACTCTCCTTATCCAGTCCTCTGCAAAGCATGCCGGGAACTATAAATCCACTGCCCAATTTTCACTACTACCAAAAGTTACTACCAAAAAAATCAATTAATGCAGAAATTGAGTTTAAATTACACACAATCTTACGTCGATGTGATGATCAACATTATTATGTCAACAGAACTCATCAAAATATTGTTTGCAACTTAAAAGGTTTAATTAAATCACAAAATGTTTTACTTGCAACCATGCATTTATTTAAGTTGTGGCGATAGGTCCCCTGAATTGATGTAGTTTTAAATTGCAAATGGTCACATGACAAATAAGAAACAGATGAAAGATGAAGTGCATTTAATCGGTTTAATTAGCTGTTTTTCATTCAGAACAATCTACGACTGTATGACAATCCTTACAGCAGCTAAATAACATCTAGTTTTATATATGTATTTACTCTTTTTTTATTTTGAATAGAAAACACCAACTATTGTAGGGTTGTTTGAACAACCATAAATTACCATGAAACAGTCCTATAAAAAAAAGAGCAAAAATCACCATCATTAAACTGTTGTATGATTGTTATTGTCTCATTTGTGCTTACATCAAAGAACTCCTTCAGATTATGCTTTATTTTTCTTTTCATCTGTCCTTGAGTTTGTGTTTTAATTACTTGTGCTCATTTGCAACATAAGTAGCTCAAACATTAAGACTTGAACTGCTCTATACCACCTAAATCAACACCTAATGCATCCTATGTAAACATACACTTTAATTGAAGACTACAAAGAGTCTCTGTAGAAGTTAGTTAAGTGATCGTTTGTTCTCTGATACAAAAAAATTGCTACAAATTAGCACTACCTGACAAAACACAGTCACAATGTTCTAGGGAGCAGATGCTCTCGTGTTCTCGAACGATCCCTTGAGGCTTCGCTTACCTAATTGACCCATTATACGAGAACACAAGAGACTGGTCTCAGTTGAGCCGTTAAGATCACGACTGTTTATCTAAAACCTCCCAGGAAAACGAGCAGCTCCTGATGCGTTTCTTCAAAGATCTCATAGAAAGTTGTTTGAATGCACACATCAAATACAAAGAGACATAATAAAATCCCTGTGATCTATAAAGACTGTTACTCTTAAAAAAACTCAGGAGAGGAAGCTTTGAAGACTGATTAAAATGTCCTCTGTCTCTTGGGAAGTTCCTCCAGGTGATCGTGGCATCCGGTTGTCTCGTAAAACTTAAAAAATCCAGTATAAAATATATCTTATTCTTCTATTGGTGCACATGTATGATTCTGTCAAAGGCTGGTTTGAAATTCACATGATGATCCACCAAGAAAAGATTGCGTTTAGTATCTTCATATCTTAAAGGCAGGGTATGTGATTTTTCAAAAACACTTTAGAAAACTGATTCGGGCCGAATAGCTATAAGAAAGTTAAATGCTTATGAAAATATGGTAGCCACTAGGGATGTGCGATTTGGATTCAATTGCAATTTTTATGATAAAAATCAAAAATTGTGATTGGGCCGCAAAATTTGTCCAAACATTGTGTTATTTATTAAAATAATGTAATTTTTTTTGTTTTTAATTGGTTATCATTTTTTATTATTATTCTTATTACTAAACAAAAAAAAATTACTAAATAAGAAAATTTATTTAACTAATATTAATGTTATTTCACTGTAAAATGAAAAACCAAGTATTTATTTAAAAAGTATATAATAAGTGTATTTATTTTTATTTCATTTTATTTAAACCATTATTTTGATTAATCGTGCAGCCCTAGAAGCCACTATATATAATTAAAGGATTAGTTCACCCAACATCATTTACTCTCTGTCATGTCATTTAAATCTAAAACTATAAAAAATCCATTAACTGTATATATAAAAAAGTTGCCAAGCCAGTTCTCATTTTCGTTTACTTTAGGTTGAAGTTCAAAAATAACTAAAATTAAATAAACTAAAACTAAAAACTAAATATATATAGACATCTTTAAAAAAAAAAAAATACTAAAACGTTAACAAAAATTAAAATCAAATCCAGAAAATCTGATTCAAAATATCAACAAAACTATAATGATAGTATATCAATGATACTAAAATAACACTTGCTCCAAGAAAGACAAAAAAGCACAATAAAACTAGTCTATACGACTATAAAATATATAATATATAAATAAGTCTTGCAAAACCACATGATGATCAGCTTTGAGTGAGGAACAGACCAAAAACTGGGTTGAAAATGTTTCCCTCATGCAGTATCTCTCAAAGGTCATTCAATTCAAATACAACACATTGAGATACATTAGAACTGAATGGTCAATGACCAGACGCAATGCATCTTCAACTTTCAGAAAAAAAGTGCAACAATTTTACCTTTGGGGTGTTAATTTACCTAATTTACCCATAAAAGGTTCATATCAGTACAGTATATACTACTCTGTGGTACTAATATGCACCTTTTAGGGGTAAACAATGTACAAATGTGTCCCTTTAAGGGTACTGACCCAGCTGCTGTACTCCTACAGGTACAATTTGTACACTTTTTGGTCAATAATGACTTAGATTTTGGACTTTTCCTCACATAAATCTATCATATGGCTTTAGAGGACTCAGAATATGGTACTCTTATGTCATTTCAGGATCCATCATGGAGCATCATGCAGTATTTCTTCCATGTTTCGAGTAAGAAGAAAATCATATGGGTTTGGATCGACATGAGGTAAATGATGACGGAATTTCCATTTCTTTTTGGAGTGAACTATTCCTTTAAAACGAAAGCAGTTTTAATGAATTCACCACAGTTTCCTAGTGAAACTGATTCATTTCCAGTGCTAAAGTGACCTACCAAAGCTACGTCTTTTAGTTTAAATTAGCGAGGTTTCAAAGTTACCATGTAATAGTTTGCTATTGCTACATTCGTGGCCGTTCTATGAACTTCCATCACGAAATATGTTGTCGTTCCTGTGCAAACATTTTCCCAATAGTAATTCTGAAGTAATATTGCTACCTTTTTGCGGCTGTATCCAGTTTTGACTTCATACGCAAATCTCAATAGGAGTGGTCATCATCACTTTGCTCTTGTCTTGACGATTGGGCGACGGGCTTTTGGAGGACTCCTCCCTAGAAGAATGCGGTTCGGACAGGATGCTACGTTTGAGGGGGGTGGGGCGTAGACAGGAAGTGCCTGAAGGCGGAGAGGGCTCTGCGTGCCTGTGGGCGGAGCATCGTGCTGAACCACCCCTAGGCACCCTACAGGAAGCTCTGCGACGGTGATGATTCAGCAGGTCGTATTTGAGGAAGTAGAACACCTCTTTAACCCCACAGCGCCGCTCCGGCTCCAGCGCCAACAGCCGACCGAACATGCGCAACGCATCGTCCGAAAACCGCCGCCATTGGGAGGGAACAACGCCGGGAGGAAACGCCCCCCGCTGCCATCGCTGAAATTCCGAAAAGAATGCGTCGCTAGGCAACGCCGCTTCCCACGGAAAGTTTCCCGTCAGCATGCAGAACAGCAGAACTCCGAATGCCCACACGTCCTGGGTCGTCACCACGACGATTCCCTCCGATACCGAGGCCTGGCACACCTCGGCGGCGGTGTATGGGATGGTGCCGCTGATCCGCTTGATCCGGCTGCCTGCCCGCCGTGTCATTCCTAAATCTGCCAATTTCACACGTCGACACTCGCGGTCGAAGAGCAGAACGTTTTCTGGCTTCACGTCCCGATGGACAAGACTCTTGCTGTGCATGAAGTCCAGAGCCAGACCCAGCTGCTGAACGCAGCGCTTGACCATCTCCTCCGGCAAACCGGCCTGGAAAGAGACAGAAACACAAAGGCACAGTTTAGAGCAGAGGAGATACAGAGAGAGATACAGTACAGGCTGTTAATCTGTAAGGGAGTAAGCAGTTGACCTTGATCTACCTAGTTTTCCATAATCAAAAGCTGGATCATATGCATGTGCCTGTTGAACTCCACAGATGCCTTCAGAATTCAAATACCTAGCATTCATAGCTATGCCAATTCACCGGGCATTTTTATCACATATTTTTGTAAAATTCTGAACAAATCCTCAAAAATGTGGGAGAAAAAAATCCACAGATTCTGTGCGAGTCTGGTTAAAGTTTACATTCAGACAGCTGGTGTTCTATATTATGCAAAAAATATGTATATACAAGTACGTTCAGTTGAATCTAACAAAGAATATGTCCAGGTCATATTTTACCACAGAATAAAAAACAAACAAAAACAACCAAACAAATAATATTTTGCGTAAAGAAAATTAAGCCTAGTTTGAATTGTGATATATTTTATATTTTAATATATATTTCAAGAGAATTCTATTTTATTTATAGATTAATTATATTTTACATATAAGTTCACTCCCAGTCCCAAAATACTTAGTATTAAAAATATTACTGATTACTGTTTTACTTTGTAATTTTCTAATTAAAATGGAAATTAACCACTGTTCTGTTTTTGAATTACAAATAATGACCCCCACTTAGAAAAGGCAAAAAGTCTGGTCAAAGGCTACAAACAGACAGTTGGTTTTCTATATTGTCCAAAAAGCCATAAAGCCATTCTATATATTATAATTATTAAAACTTTTAAGAAGGTCCTCAACAAAACTCAAGCTACTGTCGTATAGGGAGCAGCATCCGGCCCCCCCAGAGTGTCCACATCGTCGAATCTGGCCCCCTTTAAAAAAAGTTTGGACACCCCTGTTGTAAACTAATACTATGTATATTTAATATTTAATGAACAAATATTGTTAATTGTTTTTTAATTTAAATTGCTTTTATTTTTTCTTTATTTAAAATAGAATTAATTCTACTCAATAATTATTTTCATAAAAATGAATACATAATTGCATGTTTTATTTGTCTGTTGATTTTGTAGTTTTAAAAAAAGGACCCAGACGAATTCTTGATAGTGCTACAGGTGTTAAACCTACAAATGCATGATTAAATATGTGACTTGCGATGTAAAGATTGTGGTGTTAATAACGAGGTGCTGTGGTACCTGAGGTGGGATGATGTCGAACAGATCTCCCGCAGGCGCGTACTCCTGTCCGAACACATAGCTGTCCTCCGTCTCAAACAGCACGTTCAGAACTTTGATGATAAACGGGCTGCAGCCCAGCGCTGCCGTCAGGCTGTACTCACGCAGAAAACTGCGCAACTTTGTCTTGTTCTTACTCACATACTTCAGAGCCAGCTTAGTACCTGCAAATACACAAAATAATGGTGAATGAAATATGATACATCTTAAAAATAAAGGTTCCAAAAGTGGTTTTTGCAGTGATGCCACAGAAGAAACACTTTAGGTTCCCAAAAAGAACCTTTCAGTGAACAGTTCTTAAACTGTTTTTAAGAACATTTTAATAGTCTAAATACATGTTTTCCACAATAAAGAACCTTTTGTGTTCTTCATGGAACCACTGATGCCAATAACCTTTATTTTTTAGCGTGAAGGGCAGTGTTGTTTTAGTATCATTGATGTGTTTAATTAATATTTTCAATTAGTTTGAATTTTTGAATTTTCCATTTTTATTTCCATTTTAAGTTCTATTTTTGTGTGATTGTTATTTTTATTAGTTTTTTTTAATGTCTATGTAATTTTTATTATTTTTTATTTCAGTTTTAATTATTTTAGCTGAAATGAAATAAGTTTCTTTTTATATTTTATTGTATTTTATTCCAGTTTATTTTATTTTATGTTTATTTTATATCAAGTAAAGCTCAAAATCTTTATTGATATTTTGAATTTGTTTTTATTTTTATAGTTTCTTTTTATATTTTATTGTATTTTATTCCAGTTTATTTTATTTTATATCAAGTAAAGCTCAAAATCTTTATTGATATTTTGAATTTGTTTTTATTTTTATATTTTTCCGTTTACTTTTAGTCATTTATTTTTATTTTATTTATTTATTGATTTATCTTTCAGTTTTAGTTATTTTAGCACTTCAAGTTAAATGAAATAACTGAAAATTTTTGCCTTTGCAAATATTTTTAGTATTTAAAATTTTTTTATATTTTATTTTATTTCAATTAAGGTTTATTTTAAGTAACAAAAATATTTTTAATGCATGTAGTTTTGATTTTAATTAATGATAATAACCCTGCACAAGGGTAAATGAGATTTAATAGCTACAGCTTAGATTTCAGTGAATAGTGATCTAAATTTTGGCTTGTCTCACATAATTATATACTATTATAATATTATATTGAAATATGCATGCTGGTTTCATGGTGTCATTTTTGGTGCTTGACTGCTTCCAACTCCATTCACTTCCGTTGCATTGAGAGGAGCAGCTATGCAGGACATTCATAAAAAAAGAACATCGGAACGCCACTACCTCATTTTTTTACACAGACTCACCCTGTGTCCGATGCACCACCAGGTCGACTTTGCCGTAGGTGCCCTTCCCTAAAGGAGCGATCAGCTCATACTGCTGTTCCAGCTCCGAGGCGGAGAGAGACGTGATTGACAGCGCCTGCATGTCCTCGACCGGAGCGCCGCCCGTCCCGCTGCCCCGTCCCGCTGGGAGAACCCCCACCTGGGTACTGAGAAACACACACACACACACACACACACTAACATTTGAACACAAACTCATTTCAAGAGGAATTGCATCCTGGCGAGGAACTCTCTTCTGGTAGTATAGAGCTCGTTGATGGCGTCATTTGTCTTTCTCTGTTTATTCTTCTCTCTCTCTCTAGCATCTGTGTACTCTTTTCTTTCCTCTCGTCAGCACTCTACCTACACTCTATTTCCCTAGCCGTGTTCCTGGCGTGATGCTCTCAGTCAAATTTTTGTGAATATTTCAACAACAGCAAAGGGCACTAACTGAATCACGCTCCTCACGGGAATAAAGCAGTGACCTAGAATGAGGCCTCACGTTATCAGCATCATGCATAGTGACAGACCCTCCGCTGAGCATCAGCGCTGCACGACCACAACAACAACAGATGAAGATGCCAGACGACCTTAAGATGACCTGCCAGAAGTTCTGATGAGCCCAACCCCTGCTATCCTGCCCACTTTAACCCCTGACTGAGAAACAAATGAGAAATTGATTCAGGAACATTCTCATTTTCTCTAGAGGTCATTGCCAGCCTTTGATTTCTACTGCATTAAACCGCCAGCCGTTCTCTCTGGCCCTTCGTTCAGCTCAACTGGTAGAGCAAAAGCCAGAATTTAGAAATGGTCTCAGTTTCAATTCATGAGTTGGAATTTGAATTGATTAGACTGCAGCATACTGGATATTGAATTGTAATGACAGGAAAATGAATTGTCATTCAAAGAAATTCACATGAATCCAGCAAAACAACAAATTGGACAGGAATGTAAACTTTCCTAATTTAGCTCCATTATAAAGACTTTGACTTTTTAAATGAGAGTAAATGCAGTGGAGAAATGCATTGTTTTTTCCACTACAATCAAAATATATGTCAATAATATATATTATACATATACTATATATTTTCTATATATATTTTCCACAATTTTAGTGGAAAAACGTTTAATTCATAAAATAATATTATATTTTAAAAATATAATATATAAAATATTTATTATACATAAAGAAATATTGTAAATAATTGCAAATTAAATATATTTTTCTATAGGTGGCATGTTCTGGAAATTGTCCATATGTTGTGTGTATGATAACATGCTAATGGGTCATTCATACTGAAAAATGCTATTTATTATTTCAAACTACATATAAAGCAGTTTCTTGGCATTTCATTCTATTTGATGCCAATTATATGAAAATTAATATTTAAAAATCTAATTTAAATGTATAAATTAAATTGCAATCGCATATTCAGTTCTGCATAGACTGACGCTAGCAACACCAAAGTCATGGGTTTGATCCTGAGCCGTAAAATCATTTGCTACATGAATAAATACAAATGTAAAATATACATTTATTCAGACTGAAATTAAATCTCAGACCGAGTGTAAAATCTATAATTCGCTTTCTCTATATTGATGCATCTTGAAAGCAATCTACTGTACTAAACAGAATTGCCTCCCTTAATAAATGAAACCGTCTGTTTCTCACTGACCCTAAGGTCAACACCTGAAGGTGACCTTTGACCTGACCTCCCTAACAAATCACATTAATTTCACACACAACGTACAAACATGCAAACTCATGTTTACATTCAAAAGCGCTAAATGCATCAGCATTGCACAAAAAAAATTGCTTTATAATAAAACAATTCTAATTTTTAAATTCATTCTCATTCCATTTTTATTATTTTTTACATTTGAATTAATTTCAATATGTTACCATTTTTTATTACTCTCTTTCGCCTTCCTTTCTCATTTTCTCTGTTTTTACACTTCAGATGCTTTGGTGTTATTATAACAATCACACCTACAGCATCTGACCCTGAACACATCAACAACAACAACAACAAAAACGCATGAACACACCATGTGCCCAACAGCGCAAGTGCAGCAGGTTCGAGCCAAGCGTCTCCAAACAAAAGAAATCAATAGACACGTCAGTGATGAGCTGAACTCACCTGCCCATGCCCTGCTGTCTCTCTCCCTCATGTTCCTGCATCCAAACACCGCGTCCTGATCTCAACCCGGCTAGAAATTCATCCAAAAAACCATGATGTTCTATCACCAAAAAATGAGTTTCCTCAGCACTCCAGCTCTGTTAAAGGAAACGCTCTACATCCTGCACTCATGTGGAAAAAGCACAGTCTGTTTCTGCCATCCGTCCGGCTGAGTGTGTTCTGCTGTCTTTGTGTGCTCCTGAAGGAAGCCGCTGGAGCACGAGGAGCTGGTGTGTGTGTGTGTGTGTGTGTGTGTGTGTGAGAGAGATGGAGGGGAGGGGCTGCATGTGTGCGTATCTATGCGTGAATGACCTACTTCATTGCGTTTCTGCTCTCGGATGCTGTCTGTGTCTCGCAGCATCCAGGGTCCCTTTAGGGATGTCAGATGCGCTCATCCAGCGGCCAGCAGCGTCCCGTCATTCAGGCTTCACTGTCACCCCCGATTTAATGCAGAACCTCAACGTTATTTTTAGATCTGCTTTGCATTGACATTCAAGCTCATTTTTCACCCAAGTTCTCATTCCTGTGTGCCCTTAATGCATGTTATTGAGATGCTATCATAATATTTTTATTCCTATTTTGAATGTTTACATTGTTTTCTGTTTTCTTATAAATATTTTCTTGTAAAGATTTTAGTAATTTTGTTGTGTTTTTGTCATTTTTATTAGATTTTTTTTTTTATGTGTCTATAGTTTTGTTGATTTTATTTATTTTGCTACTTAAGCTAAATGAAAATTAGAAATATTGCCTTGACAACTTTTTTATACTTTTTAAAAAATTGTATTTCATTTTAGTGGAAAAACAAAAAGAAATATTGTAAATTATTGCAGATTTAATAACATTTTCTATAGGTGGCATTACAAAATATAAAATAAATGTTGATGGAAATAGCCTATATGTTGTTACACGAAATTTTCTGTTTTCTTGTTAATTTTTGTTAACATTTAAGTAATTATTTTAATTTTTATATTTTCTTTTTTTGTTAATTTTTGTTAAAGTTTTGGTAATTTTGTTGTGTTTTTGTCATTTTTATTAGATTAGTCTGTTTTTTGTTTTTTTTTAAATGTGTTTAGTTTTTTATCATTTAAATTTTTTTTCTTATTTTCTTATTTCTTATTTTAGTACATCAAGTTTAAACGGAAGAGACACGTTGCCTTCACAACTAGCTTAAGTTTCAGATTTTTCAGATTTTATTTCAAGTAATAAAAGCTTTTTATGGTTTCAGTTTTTAATAATAACCTAGAATGTGTCTGAATGTTTTATTTGAGTTTTTTCTCTCATTCTCATGAATCTCAATGATTAGATTCTCATGTAATACAGTAATGAAGTTTATGTTTATTACTACAACAGAGCACAACAAATATCATATGTATCAAAATCCCCCATTGACATTCATTGGTTTAAAATGTTCGTTATCTAAAACCTAATCGACAATGATGACATCATTATATTTACATACTTCAGCTTTGATTGGTCTTCTGTTTAACATTTATTTGCATACTAAATTGTGATTTTTCTTTATTATGTATGAGAGCGCAACAGTCAGGCTAGAATAATAACAATGATAATCATAATTATATCACAAATGTATATTTGTATTGTATTACAATTATTATAAAAGTGGCACATAATAATGAATGATTACAGTTGTTGTTTTTGTTATGTGCCATAATAATAATAGTAATTATTATTATAATGTTTATTGTTATTTTTATTATATTAAATCTGAAATCATTATAGAAATTATTATAAATGTGGAACCTAATTATTATTATAGTAATTATTATATAGTATTATTATATATAATAATCTTATGTAAACATAAAAATGCCTTTCTCGGTGGCTGTTTTGTCAGTGTGCTCAGGGATTCAGAAACTGAAATAGCATCACGGTTACAGTGTGTTGAACTGTACTGCTCACACTGCTCAGATGTTTTGCATCTCCACAGAGGCCCGTTTGTCTCGCTCTCCGTCGCTCTTTCTGTTGTACTGCCTGTCGTCCCTCCTCAAAAAACAAATCCGAAGAAATATGAAGGAAGGCATCTGGTGTGTAGACCTGCTTTTATGAAATCATTAAGAACTGCACACCTCGCGCTCTCAGCTGTGCTCAGCAGGTCTTTGAGGATCTTCCCAGTCCTGTAATCACTGAGTATCCAATCAACAATGATGACATTATCATATTTACATACTTCAGCTTTGATTGGTCTTCTGTTTAACATTTATTTGCATACTAAATTGTGATTTTTCTTTATTATGTATGAGAGCGCAACAGTCAGGCTAAAGATGTAAATTGACATTTATGCATTTGCAGGATGCTTTTATCTAAAGCGTTTTACATTGCAGTCAAGATATATACTTTATCGTCAAGGCCTAAAACCTCAAACTAACGGAAATTTCAAAACGTCTTTTGCTAGTTTAACTAGATATAAAGTCAATCTAGGTAAAGAACTATGGTGATGTTTCCTCACATTCAGAACAACAGCAAGAAGCCGTGTTTTGACAAGCGTCTGAAAGCCCAAATACAGAATAATCTCACCTCTGCTTGTGTTACGCCTCTCTTTCTCTTTCATTACACTTCTCTCATCTTCTGCTTCACACTTTTTGTCCTAGTTTAAGTTGCTGTCTCCTCACTTTATCCAGGTCGACGTGTTTTTCTTTCTTTCCCAGAAACACTATGTCTTATAAAATATGGGCTCGAATGTAGAAAACTGCTACTAATGTCTGCCCAGCAGTAATTATTTCATATTAATTAGACATAACATTATGAGGTAAGGTGCAACAACTTTAGCATTAATCTTGTACAATTGTAAACTTCATCATCCAGTAATAATAATAGTTCAAATTATTATTGTTATAAAGGTGGCACATGCTAACAATTATTATAAAAAATTAAAATTATAATTCTAAAATGTTTAAATATGTTAAGAATAATAACAATAATGACAATCAATTATAATTAAATTACAAATTAAAATGTAATAAAAAGAATTATAATAAATATTATAAAAATGTATATTACAATTATTATAAAAGTGGCACATAATAATATTAATTCTTATTGTTATAAAAGTGGCACATCATCATTATCATAATAATAATACAACTATCTACATACTAAAATTATATTGTATTATAATGTACTATTGTTGTTATTGTTACTATTATTATTGCTATTATTTTACAAATCTAAATAATAATAATAAATGTTATTATTACGCTTGGAAGGCATCTGGTGTGTAGACCTGCTTTTATGAAATCATTAAGAACTGCACACCTCGCGCTCTCAGCTGTGCTCAGCAGGTCTTTGAGGATCTTCCCAGTCCTGTAATCACTGAGTATCCCTGATCCGGAGCCCTTGACTGCCTTCCAAGTGCCTTCAGCAGGTCACGGATCTCTTGAGAACAAAATCTCCTGGCATTTCTGCAGAGACATGCCTCCAGCATGTTTGTTGTCTTCTTCATCTCCTGCGACGTCATGAAATCACCAGAAGACAACTGTGAAGTTCAGGGATTTCACGCTGAATGTCATTGCTGTATTTTGTTGCTTGGATTTAATTCGATGAAAGCTTTAATTACCCACCTGAGGTTTGAGTGACAGGCGCTGAAGCCTTGACAAAAGCCTGACGGGAGCGTCAGCGCTGACCTTTCTGTGTTCGTCAGCTTTAAATGTTTTCCTCAAAAATCAATCTGAACAGCTTGTTTAGAAGGAAAAGTACTTGTTTGATTACTAAACAGCCATTCAGAGCAGTCCGATATGAACTAGGGAGTTTTATGAGTCATCTGAAATTCTGAAGAGACTGATGATCTAATGTACACAACCCTGATATACATATCTCCAGCTGCTTTCACCCTTTCAGTGTGTCATTGTGAGGCAGCGGATGTCCTGCAGGCAGGAGAGAGAGGGCTTTGTAATAAGGTCACTGGCTCTGTCTTTCTGTAGTTTTGCAGGTCAGGTGTGACTCAAATTTATCACCTTGATGGTAATAAAACAGATCCTAAATCCAACCTGCCAATAAGAAAAAGCACCTAATAACCACACATCGACATGTTTGACCCTTATATAATGTTTCTGGTCAATTTGACCTGCAACACATCTTTGAGCTGACAGAAATATTGGTTAAGCTAAGATGGTTATCTTGAAATTGTGAGACTATTTCTCATTTAGGGTCATGAACGTGCCTGCAAAGTGTTGTGGAAAGTGGCAAAAAAAAAAAAAATATATATATATACAGTGGGTACGGAAAGTATTCAGACCCCCTTAACACGTAATAATAATAATGATAATAAATTATTACAAATCATCAAAATTATTACAAATAATTAAATTATTATAAATAGAAATACTAACTATTATTATTAGTAAAATAGTATAATAATTATTAATATAATGTGATTTTTAAAATCTAAATAAAAATAATAATAGTTATTATGATGTGTTGTTTTTGTTATTATGTAAAACATTTTTGAGAGTCGTGAATGTGTCTGCAATGTGTTGTGGAATGTGGGGGAAAAACATACTTCAAAATGTTCCAAAAAAATTACAATATTACAATATATTAAAAAGTTAAACATTATGAAGTCATTATAAATCCATAAGATTGTAAATGTATTTTCTTGCCTCTGAAATATATTTAAATATATATTTTATAGTATATTTTGGTATATGAAGGTGAAAAATATATTTTACATTTACAATATGTATGTATACAGTATACAGTATATATATATATTAAACTTTTTATGTATTTTGTCATTTTCTCTACCCTCTGAGGGTACATTTATGCATTTGGCAGACACTTTTATTATCAAAAAAAAAAACATTTTATTTTTTGAGCTTCAAAAAAAAATATTAAAAACAAAAAATTATATGAACATATATATATTAAAATACTATTTACAATATTCATTTATAATATATGTCCTTATTTTGCTCTTTTGTAATGTGTGAGAAGTATTAATGTTAAAGGTTTATTTTATTTATCTATTTATTCTTTGAAAATTTTTGGTGAATTGTATTGAATCCAATTAGGCTCAATTAGACCCAGAACATAACGATCATTCCAGGGAAATTTAACATAATACCACACAGGGTTCAAACCAGAACACCTTAGGAACTGCATAGCAATCACGGTGGTGCGTTTAGCATGGGCAGACGCTGAAGGAGAAGTAAAAATCGAGTTGTATTTGCTCTCGGGTGGGCTCGGCTGTCTCTGTAATTGGATTTTCTTTTTCACGGTCTGGTCATTTTCAGCTGAACTCTCTGAAGGTCTTCTCTGCCGGCTTCTAACAAGATGCGTCTCTGCAGACAGTGGTTACTACTATCCTCAGATATTACATCTTATTTACTACCAAAGAGAAACTGCAGGCCTGACGGATTACTTGAGGGTTTTGTCTGTGATCTGCAGTTTGAGCTGGATGTGGGCTGTTTGTTCTGCTAATACTGTCTAGTGATGGTCAGAGCAGAGGAAAGGGAGAGTTGGACAATAGCAAATAATAGCTTGGAGTGTGAGAGAAGGGTCTTTCT